TTGTTCCACAAATATTTCCCGACTGTCTTGCCTATATCAAGCTCTGGGCTGGAGGAAAAAAGAGGTCTCTACGTGGGTTTCTAATTTAGGAGTTTTTTAAATTTTAAAAACACAATTAAAAGTTTAATATATTCTTGGAAATAGTAAGGCAAAAAATGAGGCAATCTCTTTCTGTAGTTCCCAACTTGCGGTTTTTTAAACGGTGACTTCCCTTTAAACGTAAAATTAAAACTCGGGTGTGCAGCTTGATAGGTTAGCATCTCAGTCTAACGGTCCACATTCTGGAGTCCAGTTGTCCCAAGGACACTGGAAACTTCGACAGATCCTCAGAAATGCTGCTAGGAACTCTAACACCCTGCAGACAGGTGCCAGCAGAGCCAAATGTCAAGTATCTGCACCACTGGCTGTAGATAGTCAGGGCCACATCCCGGCCAGAACCATTGCGGCTTGTTCCGATGCGCACAGATACACGACACGTGCACACACAGGCAAAACACATGCACACACGCACACACAGACATGACACACACACACACAATGTATTAAAAGGATCATAGGGCCGGCCCCATGGCCGACTGGTTAAGTTCGTGCGCTCCGCTTTGGCGGCCCAGGGTTTCGCCGGTTTGGATCCTGGGCACAGACATGGCACCGCTCATCAGGCCATGCTGAGGCAGCATCCCACATGCCACAACTATAAGAACCCACAACTAAAATATACAACTATGTACTGGGGGCATTTGGGGAGAAAACAAGCAATTAAAAAAAATTAAAAAAAGGATCGTAGACTCCTGGCAGCTCATAGCTGCAAAGCCCTAAAAGACCCTCTGGACCAATTCTTTCATTTTCAGTTGGGGAAACTGAGGCATAGAAAACTGAAGTCACTTGCCCAAAGTCACACAGCTTGTTAGCCACACGGCCAGGAAGCCTGAGCTCATGTCCAGATGACACTGTGCGTAACTAGCGCGCTCACGGATGGGCAGCACTGTCTCCAGACTGGTGGCTAATCATATCTAAAACGTCCCTTAACCTGATTCTTCACAATGACAAACAGCAAGCAATTTTATCACTTTTCTCAAATAAATCAGCTCTGCCTAAGAGCAAGGGGATGAAACGTGCCCCTAGGCCTGGGCTCCAGGAGTCCTGGTTCCTGTTCTGTGACTGAACCACACACAGCTCCTTAGAAGAGGACAGGCCATGGAGGACAGCCTCTTTGTTGGAAATTGGGGGAGCTGAGGGCCAGGCGGGGGGCCTGGGCTGAGGTCACACGCTGGACCCACAGCCGGGACTCTTGACTTCCAAGCCATGGAAAACTTCCCATCCCCCCTGACCGCCTTCCTCCAGGAACAGATGCTGGAAACCAGATGTGGCAGCATCCGAGAGCCGGCTTTCCTCTCCCGGCTTTAGAAGGCTGGAGCCGACCTCCCTCTCAGACTAGCCTCAGTTTAAAGGTGGAGAAACTGAGGCCCAGAGGCGTGGAGTTACCTTCTGGGGTAAGAGTGAAACCCAGGAGGCTTCACTTCTCAGAACTCCGCGGGCTCCTCTCCCTCTCACGCCCCAGACGCCCACCCCCCTCCCTCCTTCCTCCACATCAGCCAGGCCGAACGTTTTATAAGCCAGTCAGTCACCCTTTTACCTTTTACAAGGTATTTGACCCCCCAAAAATGTTTTCCACGTGGCCTTGAGGGTACTTTCGAGTTATCCGCCAGGTCTGTTTCCCCTGTGTAAAGTGCAGCCCCAAGTCCCTTAGGGCCCGTCCATACATAGAGCTCTGCCTCTGCATTCCTGACCACCAGCTTCCGGATCCCACCAGGAATCACCCAGCGGGGCTTCAACAGAGCTTTCTTGTCACCTGGGTGTGGCCTTAACCTGAGAGTGTGGCCGGGGCAGTGGGCGCCACCCCACTCATGCCCGTCACAGAAGGGACAAGCAGGGCCCAAACCTCTAAGAGCCCCTCTCCCTCCAAACCTCCCCCCAGCCCAGCACATGCCCTCTTGGAATCCTCTCTTCTCTCTCTCCAGGAACATCCAGGCCTCTGCTCGGCCGCCCTGGCCTCGCTGTAGGATTGGCAAAACCCGACGGCTGCTACTTCCCTAGTCGGCTTATAGCGCATGAGTGCTGGCATGCGGCCCCTGACAGTAATTGTGGTGGGACCTTCTGCTCACAACGGCACCCTTTCTCTCTGGCGTTCACGGCACGAGGTGGGCCAAGCCTTCCCCTCCTGGAGTCCTAATCCTCCTTTCCCGCCTCACACGCGGGCGAGTGCTCTGTGTTTCCTGCTGTGCCAGGTGCTGGGCATCCTGAGACCATCAATGTGTGATAGTGCTCCCCTGGGGCTCACAGCTGGATGGGAGACGCACGCTCAAGTGTGAGCAGCTTCCTTAGCCCTGGCTTCTTGGAGGAGGTAGGCACCGGGCTGAGTGTGTCCCAGGGGACCAGGCAGGAAACAGCAGGTGAAGGGGGAGGTGAGGGGTGTTCCAGGGGATGGAAGGTGCAGCACAGACAAGGCCACAGCAGAACCAGGGGCACGGCCGGCTGGGGGAGGAGTCTGGGCGAGTCTGAAGCTGCAGGGTTCTGAAACGTCTCCGTCCCACGGGCGCCCCCCTCATTCAAGCCATTGTGCCTCTTGCTGGGACCCTCGGAGCAGCCTCCTGGCTGGCCTGCCTGCCTCGGGCTCTCCACCTCACTCCCTTCTCCTCCCATCAGCCAGAGAGACCTTGCCATCACGCACTGACAACACACTCACAGCAGCATAGCCCTCCACCGACCCACAGAATCAGGACCAAATTCCTCAGCCAGGCAGGCAGAGCTCTTCCTGGTTTGACCCCAACCTACTCCAGCCTCCTGATCCTCTTCCCATCTTCAAGTATGCCATGTTCCAGCCACTCCAGGCTACTCACATTCCACACCGGCGCCCTGCCCTCACACTGCCGGGCCGTGCTCGGCCGTGCCCTCCGCCTGGAATGCCCTCCCTCCTCTCTCTGGCATCCATCTTTCAAAGCCCTTCCCCTGGGCACCCCGTCCAGCCTTCTCAGTGCTCCCCCCACTGACCTGGCGGCTCTCTTGCCAAACTCCCCTGGGCACCTTGCCACTTCTTAGATAATGCTCATCCTAATTTGTCTTGGAGCACATTTACGCCATCTCTCTCTCCCCGAGGAGACTGAGTGCCCCTCAGGAGCCAGCTGGGATGTTTCTCAGTTGCCTCTGAGTCCCCAGGGCCAAGGACTGGGCACTAAGAAAATGTGCTCTGAACTGTCCAGAATCCCAGCACTGGTGCTCCAGCTGGGAAAAGGATGGCAAGACTGGCACACCCTTCAGGTCAACGTCACACCTGCTGCCCCAGGCTGTTTGCTGGGCCAGCCAACTGCTGCCCCCAGCAGGTTTGGAGAGGGGACACATTAGGAAAGGTGCCAGAGTTGGGGTGCCCACGATGGGACTGGGGTCCCCTGACAGGGGTTTTGAGAAATGTCCCAGAGTAAGACCTCTGTAATGTTTCCTTTGGGGGCCTGGGCTTGGTAAAATTCCTATCTACTTCTCTCCCTCCCCCTCAGGGCTTTCAGCAGAGCAGAACATCAGGCCATCAAACTGGCAAACCCATGGTGACCAACTTCAAATTGTCCCCACTGTCATGTCTCCCGTTCTGGAGTGTGAAAAGCACTCCACTCTTTCAGCTGAGCACATGGCCACTCAGACAAAAGACGGCATTTCCCAGCCTCCCTTGCAGCTAGTTTGAGCCAGGGTAATTAAGCCCCAGTCAATGACGGGAGAAGCGTCCAGGGGCAACTTCCGGCACTTAAATAAGGCACTTAAATATTCAAGTGCTTAAAGGCACTTGAATAAGGGCTTTTCACCTTTTCTTTTTTTCCCCTCCCTCTATTCTGATGCAGCTATCACGGCCACCACCTTGGACCAGGAAGATGAGGGCTACAGCCCAGGGATGGCAGGAAGATGAACGGCATGGACTCTGGGACTCTGGGAAGGCTGGGGAGCTGAGCTCCACAGCAGCCCTAGATTGCCACCTCGGGACTTTTACTTGAGGGATGAACAAACCACGGCTTAAGGCATGTTGTTTTGAGTTTCTACCATTTGCTGCCAAGGTGCATCCTAACTGACGACCTGGGTTCTCATCCCAGGGCTGTGGGGCCACATGGAGGGCACTGGTGCTTTCTTACTTTGGAGCCCCTTTCTGCAAAATGAAGGTCAAAAGCCCTTTTAGCGTGAAACCTCAGAATAAAGCTATGAACTCCATATAGAAGCACTTTATTGATTTCAGTTTTGTCACCATAGGGCATAATTGTTCACTTCCATTCAACTGAACAGACACTGCATTATGGGGACACTCTGTCAGGGCAGCTGCATCTGATTGTGTAAGTGTGCACTGCACAACTCCAAGGGCATTATTTGCTCTCTGGTTTATGTGAACAGTGGCTCCTGGAGTTGTGCTGTGCACAACTTGTACAATTGTACCTGGCTGCCCTATATCTGTGGCCATACAATGTGGCTCAAGAAGCCTAGATATTAGCGGGCACATCATATATTCAAGTTCAACAAACATTTATTAAGCACCTGCTGTGTGCCAGGCACTGGGCAAGGAGCTTTTCATATATCTAATTATATTTACACATATGTGTGTATACATATATATATACACACACCCAGAAACAAAAGCCTGTCACATGGACAGGCTGGGGTTGCAAACTGGGAGGCCGACAGTCTCATCAAATGTCCAACGTGGTTTGTTTGGTCTGTTGTGTTTGAATGAGCCACCAACGTTTTAAAATAGGGACATAGAAATGCACATAAAAATTCATATTTCCAGGGTCCCGCCTGGTGGTACAGCGGTTAATTTCACACTTTCTGCTTCGGTGGCCTGGGGCTCACCAGTTCAAATCCTGGTGCAGACCTATGCACTGCTTGTCAAGCCATGCTGTGGTAGGAGTCCCACATATAAAGTAGAGGAAGATGGGCATGGATGCTAGCTCAGGGCCAGTCTTCCTCAGCAAAAAGAGAGGAGTGGCAGCAGGTGTTAGCTCAGGGCTAATCTTCCTCAAAAAAAAAAAAAATTCAGATTTCCAGCATCTCTTAAAATGTTAGGTGAGGTGGCAGCGTTGGGCCTGCACTTTCACAGTGGCAACAATTGGTAGAGCTGAACAGCAAGTGCCCTTTAGTCAAACAAACACAAACTCTCTTGCTTGCCTCAGTCCCCACCACTCCCTACTGTCACACAGAGGTCAAGAAACAGCCACTATTCATCATTGGCTCTGTGCTTGCTTTTCTTCCTGGAGGGTTAAGTGGTAAATAAGACCTTTCTCATGTGACATCTCTTTCGAGAGTGGGAAAGGAAAAGATGCACCGGGATGGCTCTGGGCCTCGAGAAACCAGCCCACCTTCCTCCTTCATCGAGGTTACCGCCTGACACTGGGTGCACGGCCGCTGCCTCCAGAGTAGAGAGCGAGCTCTAGAAGGGGAGAGACGGGGAAGAAGCTGGGGGGTGGGAAGGCAGGGTTTAAACTTTATCTATAGCGATTTGTTTTTCTTTTTAAGGGCGATCTGGATCAAATAAGGCAAAATTTTTCCCTTTGTTAAATCTGGATGATGGGAACATAGGCATATTCTGACCTCTGCTATATGTTTACCATGTTTCCTATTAAAAATGTCAGAATCGAAAAGGAAACTGCTCAGCGTCCTCAGTGGGGCGGCGCCGAGCGGGGGGCTGGGGGGAGGGTCAGGAAGGCGGCCCACGGAGCGGGGGCGGCTGGGCCTCGAAGACTGGGAGGCTCTGACTCGAGGAGTGGAGGGCGCTGGGTCCAGGTCTCCAGGGAAGCGGCAAGCAGGGCCAGGGAGGAGGGGCCGAGCTGAAAGAGGGCATTCTGGGGAGGCTGGGGAGGGGTGTGGGGAGGGGCTCATGGGGTGGGGTGGGGACACCCTGACACCTGGCCGCCCTCGCCCCCCAGGCCCACCCTTGGCTCTGCGCGGACCGGCAGTGTTTCTAAGGATGCGGGCCTATTTTTAGAGCAGAGATTTATTTCTTTCCATTTCAACTGTTTACTTCTGTCCTGGGCTTGCGAATCTGCCGGTTTGTGTTACAGGAGAACCACGCCCCGTGGACGGAACCTGGCGGCCTCCTGCTTGCAGCACACCATCTGGGGTGTGAGTAGGGAGGGTCTGACGATTCTGTGGAGTCTGGTGGGAAGCCATGCCGTGTGACAGCAAGTCCCAGGTTCTCGTCCTGGGTCTGCTGCTGACTTGCTGTGTGACCCTGAACAAGTCCTTTCCCTTTTCCGGGCTTCAGAGTTTTTGTTGTTTTGATTTTTCACCACTAAAGTGGTGGTAACAATACTTACCTCAAAGCGTTGGAACAACACGCGCGGGGACCCGTCAATCAGGGTTTCTCCGCCCACGCCAAGTCTGTACGCACAGGGGCCAGGGGTGGGGGGGGTTTCACCGCGGCTCAGGGTCCTTCCAGCTCTGAGATCCCACAGTTCCAGGTTTTCCCCTCCATCGTTTCTTCCTGCAGGTCATGGCTCCTTGTTGTCAGAACTCTTGACACATTCTGGGCCAAGAGGGGCAGGTCTGCCTGGATTTTGTCCATCACCTACTAGCTGTGTGACTCTGGGGACCCGTCTCCTTTCCTTGGAACAACTTTAACCCTGGCCTGTGGGGATCGGACCCATAGGGGCCTGTGGAGATTGTATGAGACGCTGCCCACAGAGCACGGCATGGCGCCTGGCATGCAGGAAGACCTGAGGAGGGGGTAAGATGATGATGATGATGATGACGACCGCAGGCCGTGCAGGGGGCCTGTGGTTTCCCATCGTTGTTTCTGTGGTTATAAGGTGACACATTCCCACGATCAGACTTCAAAATCAACTCTTTGGCCCCAATTTCTTTATAAGGTTGGGATTATTTCTACCATCTTCTCTCCCGCAAATATTTTGGTCCTTTTACTGAGACATTTAAAAAAATAGTCTTCCTTTTCCCCAAAGCCTCATTAACAAGTGACACTTAGAGGTTCAGTTGTGTTGGTGGCTTCTTTCTTTTTAAGGTTAGTATTTATGGTGAAAATAACATAACTTCAAAGGAAACCAAATTGGAAAGATCAATTTGCTGGGTATTCCCACTCTGTACTCTGACTTCCCTGCCAGGCCCCGTCACACACAGGCTCCCAGGAGGTGACAGCTAACAGCAGGCTCCTGGCTCACGACTGTTTGGCTGGAATCCCGGCACCACCCGGCCTGCATCCTGGGCTGGTTACTTCTTTTCTCTCAGCCTCAGTTTCCCATTTTTAAAATGGGGCTGAGGGGCTCGCCCGGTGGCGCAGTGGTTAAGTGCACACGTTCCGCTTTGGTGGCCTGGGGTTCACCGGTTTGGATCCCGGGTGCAGACATGGCACCGTTTGGCAAGCCATGCTGTGGTAGGCGTCTCACATATAAAGTAGAGGAAGATGGGCATGGATGTTAGCTCAGGGCCAGTCTTCCCCAGCAAAAAGAGAAGGATTGGCAGTAGTTAGCTCAGGGTTCATCTTCCTCAAAAAAAAGTAAAAAAATAAAAAAGAATGAAACAGGGCTGATAACCAACGCTCTCGGAGGACTAAACGAGACACTCCAGCAGGGCTGTGCCCGTGGCCCACCCGGGCAATGTTAACCCTCTACTGATCCTACAAGAACTTGTACACGGTCCCCTGCGCAGGCCGCAGGGGACGCATCATTCTCAGACGTCTCGGACGTTGCCCATTGTCCCCACCGCCTGTACAAAAGCTGTCTGAATGCAGGAATTGGCTCAGCTTCAGAGCACCATCCACTTAACTCCAGAGACGAGAAGGGCAGCTCCTCTCGGGAGTCAGTCAACAGTGGATACTTTTAGCACAGGGAGCATTCCTCTCCCGCGGGAGGCCAAGGCCAGCAACCTCATGATAAGCTCGAGTTTTCCAGGCCGCAGAGGGAGAGAGAGACAGTTCCGGGGACTTTTCTTTTTAATGTGCACAAGTTTGGACTCTTGTGCTGCAGACAGAGCTGCCTTTCCACTCTCCCGCTGTCCCGGGTCACATGACACGGGGCTCAACAGCTGCCTCACTGGAAAGGTGAGCCCCCGAGAGGGACAGCTGCATTCAGGTGACAAGGCCGCCAGGAACTGCTCCTAAAATCATGGATGCGTAGTGCTGGTGGGAGTGTCCGAGGGCATCTGGGCTGACTGCGTCCACTTTACAGACAGAAACTGGATTCCAAGGAGGGACAGGCAGCAGCCTCAGTCGGGAGCAGAGCGAGGACCGAACAAGGACTGCTGCACCGCAGCTGTTTCCAGGAGGACAGGAGGATGACTGTGCACAAAGCAGGGCACACCTGTGGCTCCCACCACCTTCCTGAAGACGCCAGTGAAGCCTCAGAGCCACATGGCTAGGATGGGACCTCTTAGAACCGGGTCCCGGCTCTGCCACTGCCTCGTTGTGGGACCTGGGACAAATTACTTGACCTCCCGGTTGTCATCTGTATAATGGGGGTGATAACAGGGCCTGCCTCACAGGATTATGATGAGGGTTGAATGAATTAATATTTTCAAAGTGCTTAAAACAGTGTCTACACATAGAAAATGGCGTATGAGAGCTTGTTAAACAAAAATTACAAAAGGAGGCGTGCAGAGTATGACAGAGGGAGCAGGGGACCCGAGTTCTGGCCTGGCTCTGTTTGGACGTGTGACCTAGAGCAAGTGCCTTCCCCACGCTGGGTGCAGTTCGGGCTCTGGAAGGGGGAGAGTTGGACACCGGCGGGTCTCTGTGTCCCCTCCCGGCCACCCTGTCACGGTGTGCATACCTTGGCCTCTCCCTGCGCTGGGATTTCAGAACACGGGCCAAGGGCGGGTGAATTCGAGCTGGAATGTTTGTGCTCTTAGAAAGAAGGGAGGCCCACCAGGCCCTTTCAAAACCTTCGTATGACTTGCAAATCAGGTAACAGAGACATCTCAGTGAAGGGGCCAATTGTGTGGCGGGGACAAAAACCCCACTGGCCTCCGTTATCTCCTATCCTCTCTCTGATTTCTCTTTTCTTTTCCTTGAACTTAGAGAGAAAGGAGTCTTTGAAAATGTCCATTTTGAAACCACAATGGAACAAGAATCCCAGGTCTCGGATTGCCCACCTTGCTCCCCAGTCCAAACGCACGTCCACCTCGTCCTGCCAGAGTGGGAGGCGCACACACGTTGGAGCCTGTTTGAGATCTGAGTCTCTGCACCTGCTCCCGTGAGGCTGCGCAAGTCAGTCAGCTCCCTGCTTCTCCATCCCTCCGCGGACACAAGCGCACCTTCTCCTTAATCACCTGTGAGCAGGGCTCCGGGGTGCTGCCGGGTGAGAGGTGCAGGGGCCCTGGGAATCTGCTGCTGGGCCAGGTGCCCTGACAGCTGCGGTGGGGGCGCTGTGGGAGCTCTTGGCCCATTTAGAAATGAAACAAGCTCCCACCCTGGGTTCCGACAGGGCTCCGCCATCAGCCCCTCCCCACTCCCGGGTTGGATGCTTGGCTCTGACCTGTCACCACCCACCCAATTTGCAGCCACAGCCTAATTTAAATTCATTCCCACCTGGCAGCTCAGAGCAGCTCAACAGCCCAAAGGCCAGACGCAGCGGGCCCTGTGGGGCCCCGGGGGTCTGCGTCTCTCTGCCCTGGGAACGGGAGACTGTGCAGTATGTGCACTATGGCAGAAGGGCTGCGGAGAGGCCCGGGGCCCTTCCTCATCTTCGGGAAGGAACTCTCCCACCCCTGGCTGGGCAGGATGACGGGCTCCTGTGTGAGCCCCTTCTACCTCTCACTGGCTCCCCGGAACCTCCTCCCGGCCATCTGTCCTCAGTCGGCAAGCCCCCCGAGTCACTGCACGTCGAGGGCCCCTGGACCTACTGAGAAAAGTCCGAACTCTTCAGCCCGCCTTGCCCCCCACCTGTCCCCATTATCTGCTCCAAACCCCTTTCCAGCTCCTCTAACCCTCCACAGACACCACACGATGTCCCGGCCCCAGTTACCTTCCAGGCACGAGACTTTGCTGATGGCCTCCATTCGGCCAAGAATCCTTTCTTTTTATTCTTGGCTTAGAAAACCTCAGGGCCCAGTTCCACTCTCACCTGCTCTTGGAAGCCTGCCACCAGTAAGGATTCACCCTGTCCCTGCGCTCCTGTCGGCCCCTTTAGGAAGGAGTCGGTCAGGCCTGCTGCCCCTCGGACCGAGCATCTGGCGGGCAGAGTGCCAGCAGGCTGCCCTGTTGGTGGCAGCGCAGGGCCTGTGCTGGCAGGGAACGGAGCATGTCTGTGGGATTGACTAGAAGTAGCTACATGCCCCTGCTGTTCTCACTCTTTAAAGCTGTTTGTTCTTGTAATTCTGCGCGACAGTGATCCAGGATAGAATTAGAACAGGATAATGTTGCAGCGAAAGGCTGGGAGCTTGATCGTTTCTTGCCTATGTCGCTTATTTTTACTGAAACCCAGGCTACTGGGGAGCAACCCAAGGTCCTCCCACCAGCGCTGCCTTCTCATCCACCTGAGCAGCCTCATTGCGGGGGCAGGGGGAAGTGGTGAACAGCAAGATGAGGACACACTGCTGGAGGGATTTGTCATTCTATGGGGCCTAGGACCTGGGACCCCAGTCGAGGATTCTGGGTTATCTAGAAAGAAGCCATTTAATTGCATCTGGAGATAAGATCAGGTTATAAGCTCATGGAAGCTCAGCCCTGAAAGGGACCAACCAATGCCATCATTTCATGACCTAGGGAAGGACAGCAACTGGCCCAGGGTCACATGGAGTGGAAGGGACAGGGCCAAGGCTGAACTGGACCTCTGACCTCTAGTCCTGCATTTTTTCCTGCTAACCTCCTCTCCCTCTACATGAGCTACAATCACTCAAAGGCTAGCGAAATGGTAGAGCTATGTTCCTTTCTTTACGGATGACTGTTAAACTAGAGTTGAGCAACGATAGGTCAAAAAAAAAGTGTGAAATGTTCCATTTTTAATTAAAAAATATATCAAATGGAAAATTCACTGAATTCACTGACATTCATTACCTACCTTCTCTGTGCTGGGCATTGACCTGGGTACCTGGGATATAGATATAGGATGAAGGCCCCGTCTAGTAGGACCCAGGAGTCCCACCCTCAGCCCTGCTAACGGCTCCAGAGTGGCTGGCCAACCACAGACGTGACCAGGGAGCCTCCTGCCTCTTGATGCTGTGGTCCTGACTGCAGAGGCAAATTCGGAGCATTAAACACACTTATTAAACGTGCCAACTAGGAGATGCAATGATAAAAACATCAAACAGGTGAAAGGGATCCTTCTGGTCCTTTATTTCTCAGTCAATTCATTCCATGACACATTGGCCACCCTCTGAAGCAGCTGGCTAGACAGCAGGGTGGAGTGGGCGATTCCCTGCAGGGCTGGGGCACGTTCTCCAGGGGGCTGTGTCTGCTCTGAACCAGTGTCCAGTAGACGGTGCTGCTTCCCCCATAGCCAGGACTCACAGTTCCAGGATTCAAGGGTGGAAGTGGGAGTGGCACCGCCCACTATTACCCGTCATGACCCACGGGCAAAATGTTCACTGCCTGTTCCTGTGACCTTATGCTCTGCTGGCCTAGAGGTCTTAGTTCCAGAGGAAGGAATGCTTCCACCAGGAGACACAGCAATGATTCCATTGGACTGGAAGTTAAGACTGCCACCCAGCCACTTTGGGCTTCTCATGCCTCTGAATCAATGGGCAGAGAAGGTATTTCTGTCCTGAGTGGGGTGATTGATCCTGATTACCAAGGGGAAACTGGACTGTTGCTGCGCGATGGAGGTGAGAAGGCGTGTGTCTGCAATCTAAGAGAGTCCTCAGGGCTTTCTCAGTGTCACTGTGCCCTGCGATTAATGTCAATGGAAAACTACAAGAACCCAGTCCAGCAGGACTACTGACTCAGTGGCCCAGGCCCTTCCAGAACAAAGGTGTAGCTCGTCCTACCTGGGAAAACACCACAACCAGCTGAGATGCTGCTGGGGGCAAAGGGAATACAGACTGGGTAGATGTAAATATCACTATGGCCATGGGACCAGTCAGAGAAACAAGGACTGTAACTGTCGCAGAGTATTTCCTCCTTATTTTGTTATGAATGTGTTTGTGTGTACGTGTGTATTAAGCAAATATCTTTGTTTTCTTCTCCTATTCTCCTATCATGTAACATAAGATATATTGATTTTATATCATAGTATTTATTGTTAATTTTACCTTATAGTCCTTAAGTTACGGGATATCAAGGAGAAGAGTGAACATCGCTCAAGGACTCTGCCTCCTCTTCTGGAAGGTGGTACATGGGGTAGTTGTGTCATGTTAGCAGAATTATGACCTTGTTATTGTCTTTACAGGGAGATAAGTGTGGTTTAAGGAGATCTGTATGGGTGCCAAGTTGACAAAGAGTGTTGTGATGGTTAATACCGTATGTTAACTTGACAGGGCCACGGGTGCCTAGACATTTGGTTAAACATCATTCTGGGTGTGTCTGTGAGGGTGTTTCTAGACGAGAACAACATTTGAATTGATAGACTGACTAAAGCAGATTGCCTCCCCTGAGGAGGGTGGGCCCCATCCGATCAGTTGAAGGTCTGAATAGAGCAGAAAAAGCTGACCTCCCACCAGCAGGAGCGAATTTCCTTCTGCCTGACTGCTTGAGCTCGGACATTGGTTTTCCTCCTGCCTTTGGACTCATATTGAAACACCGGCTCTTCCTGGGTCTTGAGCCTGCCAGCCTGGGTGACCGAGACTACACCATTGGCTCTCTTTCTTTGGACTCAGGCTCGAACGACACTACCAGCTCTGCTGGGTCCAGCTTGCCCACTGCAGATCTCGGGGCTTGTTGGCCTCTGTGATCATGTGAGCCAACTCCTTATAACAAATCTCTTTTTATATGTATATATATCCTATTGTTTCTCTAGAGAACCCTGACTGATACAACACACACACACATATACACACAGACACACACACACACACACCCCTCCAAAGGCAATGTTATGCCAATGTCATTGCCAAAAAAGGAAAGAGGAAGGGGTAGCTTCCGAAGTCGGCACCTGCCCCTCCCCCAGGTGGCGATGGTGCTGCCTGCACTGTGACAGCGTGCTGGCCTGTAGTGCCTACTCACGTCAGGGTCCAACTCATCCAGCTCATTTTCCAGGGTCCTGAGCTCTTCCTCGCTTAGGGCTCCGAGGATCTCGTCTTCATCCAGGTCGCGGTATTTCTCTAGTTCTCGTCGGTACGACATCGTAGAAGAACCTGCCTTTGTCTTCTGAGTTTCTGTACTGATCTCTGACCTACCAGAAAGAGAAAAATCTTAGAAAGACCCTTCTCGGATTTGCTCTCTCAAAGCAAATAGATGCTGCCACTCCCACGGTGGCCCGGGCACGTTTTATAAGTGGTCTGGATACTAATTACTGTAGCGGAACACTGCACTACGTTGGACTAATTCTCTAATAAAACTGCGCAAGGTGAAGTCCCGAGGGCAGGCGAGTTAATGAATGTGATGGGCGGTGTTGGCACGGCCATTAAGCACGAGTAATAGGTGGTTATAAACGGCTTATGAGGGCCTGAACCTATTTTATTCTTGAAGTAGTTTAAATAATTTTCTGTACCACCCTGTGCCCTTCACCCATACCGGGAAGGAAAACACGAATGCTGGAAAGCCTGCCCAGGCTGACCTGAGAAGAGGGGGAGCACCAACGGTTAACGGAGCCCGTGCTGCCCGTAGGCCCCTCCCTACAACGTTGCCTTCCATCCTCACACAAAGCAGCCCCCAGCACTGGCTGACTTTCACCACCAGCTGCCCAGCCCCAGGTGAAGCGCCTCACACGGGTTTCCTAATTCAAGCCCTGGGGCAGGTGTTTGCTGTTAGCCCCATTTTGCCAATGAGGACGCTGAGCTTGGGGGGGTTGAGTGACTCGAGCAAACCACACGGCCAGGAAGTGGCTGCTGGCACCCAGGTCTGCTGGCGCTCTGAGTGCACTGGCTCTGGCCGTTGTATCCCAGCGCCTCTTTCACAGGATCAGCTCCTGTCACGGCCAGAGCAGGCTGCCTCGTCCAGACCCTCCTCTCCCGCCTGAGGGAGCCGGCTGGCCCGGGGGGTCCAGGTCTGCCACCGCCCAGGCTGCTCTCCTTGGCTAGAGAAGGCTACTGCTCATTTCCCATGTCACAGATGACACGGAGGCCCTGTGTTTGGGTCCCGTGTCTGCTACTTCCCATAACCATGACATTCTCACACCTCTGAACTCATCTGATCCTGACACCACACCCTGTAAGTTGAGTCGTTCAACTAAAACTATTTTCTCAATGAAGAAACTGAGGGACGGCCTGGGGCTTGACTCAGGACCCCGTTCGGACCCCAGCTGCTTCGCCTCACACCTCACTGCCTCTCATGCAGCCTGGGAGACACGACAGGGCCTTACGCCCTTCTGCCTTCCAGCTTGGCCGGATCCGTCTGATAACATGACGAGCCCGGCTCATGTCACCTCCTGTGAAGCCTCAGTGTCCCCTCACTCAGCAAAGGTCATCACGACCATAGCACTGGGTCCACACCGCTCCACGCAGCTCACGTGTCTGTCTCCATGGCTTCCCCATGGGCAGGGCCTGGTTTACTTCCTCCTGCTCTCCCCAGGGCCCAACTCAGGACTATACACACAGCAGGAAGTTTCGTGCTGAAATGAACCCAACTCCAGTCCTCTGCCTGCCTTGGTTGGTCTAGACAGAAAGCCTTGAGGAGAGGCTGGGCCCCTTTCCTCTTAGAAAATGTCAGCTTGCTGCAGAAGCTCCAGCATCTCCGTATTTGAGTCTGTTCCCACCTGTCCTTCAACCTACGTGAGTTAGCTGTCCGCCCTCCTTTCTGAAGCTGGCGGGCTAAAAGGTGAGGCAGCAGTGGAGGGCTTCCTTAGATGGTGCGGATGGAACGTGGCACTGCACACTGAACTGGTGTTACACGTAGAATTCCGTCCCCCCTCCCAAAGTCTTATGTTGAAGTTCTAACCCCCGCACCACATTGTAAGAGCGAATGTGACATTACTTGGAAATAGGGTCTTTGCAGGCATAATTGGTTAAGTATACGTGAGGTCACACTGGAGGGGGGTGGGCTCCTAATGCAACATGACCGGTGTCCTTAGGAAAAGGGGAAATTTGGACAGACACACCCACAGGAAGTACACCACGTGAAGATGAAGGCAGAGATGGGGGGATGCTTTTACAAGCCAAGGAACCCCAAAGATTGCCAGCAAACCACCAAGAGCCGGGGGAGAGGCCTGGAACAGATCCTCACGGCCTCAGAAGGAAGCAACGCTGCCGACACCTCATCTTGGACTTCCAGCCTCCAGAATGTAGGGGCAACACCTTTCTGCTGTGAAAGCCGTTCTGTTTGTGGCACGTTGTCACGGCGGCCCCTGAATACAATTGGTGTCACCTTCTGCACAGGGTTTTGCCTTTTTAGACCCCCATGAAAACAAACAAAACCATGGCTCATCTGTGAAGTGACAGATGGAATCTTCCAGAATAGAGAAAAATGAAAACTGGGAAGAGATAACCAACTAATCAATCAAAAAGCTGGAATTGGTTGTTAATTAAAAACAACTAAAACAATTAAAAAGAAGCTAAAGCCAAGTTCATTTAGCTAACAGCAAAAGCCTGCATTTCAGAAAGCTGAGCTGAGCGTTCTTAATGTAAGTTTGTGCATGTGTGGGCACGTCTGTGGAGAAATCCAGCACGTGACAGCTGGCTTGATAAGAAGGGACTTGCTTTCCAAATACAGAAAGCCGTGGTGCCATCCTTTCCTCTAAGAACAGCTCAGCTTGGCCTCAGACCTTCCTCTGACCAGACCCCGAGAATGCAACATCCAGACCACAAACAGGCCCCTCTTTGATTCATTTCTATTTACTTCCAAAGAAGCACACCAGCTGACAATGCTCCGGGATAGACCAAAAAACTTTCCTGAAGCCCTCAGAGGACAGCCGAATTTGGCTTTTCCTGAGTGGAGCCAGGAGAGGATCTTTGGTCTCATCCTGGGGCCAAGAGGGACCCGATCGAAGGGCTCAGAAGCTTCCAGAAGCAACTCGCAGAGACTCCAGGACCACCTCTGAACCAGCCTCTCTTATGTGGGCTGCAAAACACGCTGTTGGTGCTCACTCGGTTTTGAGTCACAGGCCTCTGGGCTCCAGGCCTCCTCAAAAATGTCGGCATGCTTCCACACACTGAATGTTTCCAAGAGGGACAGGTTACAAGCAGAAGTTTTCAGTCCTTTTGACCATAAAACCATGTCTCTGAGAAAGTGCTCCTGGAATTGGAACCTCATGAAACAAGTCTGGGACACACAGCCTCAGATTCACCTCTGGGTCACATGAGGGAGCCGCTCAGAACCACACAGGAAGGGACACAGGGACGGGACCAGCTGGGACAGTCTCAGGCCCCTGGGAGCTTCCCATGCTTGTTGTCTTTGCCACGTAACTTATTTATGGGAGAAAGGACGAGCCAGGATGAGGGAGCCAGGGAGAGAGGCATCCATGTCAGAGCCGGCTTGGGAAAAAGGAGCAAGAAGAGAGAGGCAGGTGGCAGCTATGGGGCCTGCTGCAGCAGGGATGGGGCTGGGGTGGCAGGCCACCTCCAGAGCTGCCACCCTGAGGGGGCAGTCATTAAATTCCCTAAAGAAGTCTCCCTCTTAGCACGCCCAGGAAAGGCACTGTACCAATTACACACTGCAAGGTGCTGTTGAATTAAAAAGTCCTATTTCAGGGATTTAAAAGGCCCTTTTTAATGTCAAGTGTCCTGTGAATATTATGGGGTGATGAGGCATTACATTAAATAAGCTGAGAGGAACGGAGAACTCCTAAGGTAAACTATGAAGCTGTCAGCTCCAAGCCGCACTCAGCCACTTGGCTCCCAGGATGGTTTCCCTCCAGCAAGATTCTCCTCCCATGGGGCGACCTGCGGGGACTGGAGGTGGGGGCACGGGGTGGGAGGAGGATGAAAACCGTGCGTTAACAGGGCCCCTGCAAGCCCGGCCTTCAAGTACCGCGTGGAAGAGATGGTATTGTGTAACTGTTCATAAAAGGCCTCCGTTTCTTAATAAAAGAGGCGTCACACATGGACACAGGCCTGAGAGTCTTAAGACTCCGGTTGGAGCGTGGGCTGTGGCAGTCACTCCCGGGGTGAGGCTTGCCGAGCGCCTCCGCTCC